CCCCAAAACCCCAAAACCCCAAAGCCAAAGATTTATATAGAAGTGAATTATCACAATTTATTTACCATTGATATATTATAATAATTCTATAATGTCCTCATCAATTTTGAAAAGCAGTAGCATTAAAAGTTAGCTTATCAAAACTGCAAAGGGAACTAGGGATATGCTTCCTGATTAAATGTTCATCAAGGATAAGGTTCTTAGTCAAATAAAAGATATATTCAAGTTACATGGAGCTGTTGAAATAGATACTCCAGTTTTTGAAAGACGAGAAGTATTTTAGGAAAGATATGGGGAGGCCAATAAATTAGTTTATAACTTAGATGATTAAGGAGGGGAATTATTATCTATGAGATATGATCTAACAGTCCCTTTTGCCAGATTTATGGCTACTCATAATATTCAAAAAATAAAGAGATTTTAGATTGGAAAAGTTTATCGAAGAGATTAGCCTAATTAGACATCAGGGAGATATAGAGAATTTTACCAGTGTGATTATGATATGGCTGGATAGTATAAGCCTATGGTGGCAGATGCTGAGGTATTGAAGGTCTTTTGTCAATAGCTTAAGAATCTGGATTTAAAATTCAAAATCAAACTAAACGACCGAAGACTTCTAGACTATGCTATAATTGAAAAAGCTTTATGCAAATAAGAGCAATTCAATTCAATATGTACCTCTCTTGATAAATTAGATAAAGAACCATGGGAAAGTGTGAAAGAAGAACTTAAATTAAAAGGGTTAGATCAAGATTAAATTATGAAAATAAAAGAATTCATCGATATACAAAGCGAATCAAGTGTCAAAACTCTTGAATAGTTAAGATATTTATACCCAAACAATAAAATACTAGATGAAATTCAGCTTCTAATAAGATATTTAGAGGAGATGGACTGTCAAGAAAATATTCAACTAGATCCCTCATTAGCACGAGGTTTAGATTATTACACAGGCATGATTTTTGAGGCTGTATTAACAGGAGAGGAGAGAAATCTAGGTATTGGTAGCATTGCTGCTGGAGGGAGATATGATAATTTATTAGGCTATTTTTCTAAAAATTAATCTATTCCCTCTGCAGGAGGATCTCTTGGTATTGAGAGGATATTCAATATACTTGAGGATAGACATAAGAAAAGTAAGAGTATTATAAACAATGTTGATGTTATTATTGGTTCAATGGGAGAAGTAGAGAGCCTTTAATTGATGAGATTAGCATCATTTCTATGGGATAATAATATTAAAGCTGATATAATTCATGAAAAGATTAGATTTAAGGATTAAATTTAGCAAGCTATAAGCAAGGGCGCAAAATATATGATTGTTCTAGGAGAGGATGAGCTGAAACTTAATAAAGTTTTGATAAAAAATCTAAATGAAAAGTCTTAATTAGCTCTTGATTTTGAAAAACCCTAAATCATAGAATTTATTAAAAAAGGCTTATGAGAATGATTTACTGTAATTATTAATTTGATTTTTATTATTCATTTATTGATTTCATTATTACTGAATTTAAATAATTATGGGGTTTTGGGGTTTTGGGGTTTTGGGG